GTCGTTGAATAGGTGTTTATACGATTTGCTGTTGCTGGTTCGATAACTTCGGAGGCCGGTCTTGGCCTCTCAAGAGCCCACGTCGGTATGTATAGCCTTGGCAGAGAAGCTGGAATACCTGATTGAAGACATCGTCGATCATGTCTTTCGCCTCTAAGTCCATCGTTATCGAAGAAGGTAAATTCTATGTGAGTCAGTCATGATTACAAAGCTGAGCTAGACTTAGCTATTGCCGGATATTTGAATCTTGAATCTTTTGGCTCGACTCCCTCGAGCGAGGTAGGCGAGTTACGCGAATGAACGAACGCATTGCAATTCAGGGGCTGAGTGTATCTCATTCGAGAACGACATACATCTACAAGCTTTACCTTGATATCGAGTGAAAATACCTTGAGATCTTGGCGTGACGGAATATACTTCTCACTGCCACTTTGGCTTTACATGTAAAGGTTAATACTAACAAAGATCCCAAAGGTCAGCGGCAAAGAAAACCCGAAAGAAAGCACACGAGAGGGGCTCGAACCACAGACCTTACTCAATAGAAGTCGCAAAAAAGTGGCTAGACACCGCAAGTACCCATTGGGTCATTGAGGCATCCGACCGGCACCAGACGATATGAGCCATGGCAGAAGCTGGCTCTATATCTCCTGAACGCTGTGGACTGCAGCGTGGACGAGGGCTTCAGCAAGGGGGACTCAAATTCGACCACGATTGTTTCGGTTCCTGACTTTTGACGTACTCCAGCCAAAAGATGTTGCTTTCAACCAAATAGTCATCTCGTGTCTTATTGAATTCCCGTCACGTTGCCTCTTACGTTACCCTCCATCTAGTGTTGTACCTGGACACTGCGCGTGAGCATCTTTCTAAGGCCTCATGCAATCCATCATCGCGTTGTCTCGTCCAAGCGGTCAGGTGCTCTCGTGCTGGTCTTTCCACTTGCTATATGACACCGCTTGACCGTACCTCCCTCGTCCTTCTCTGACCTCGCTGTTGCCCTGTTTCCGTTCTCGAGCCATTTGCTCCTGCTCTTTGCTTTCCGGCGGCTACCCTGCCCATGTCCCCCACCTGCCAGTCTCGAACCATCCTCCTTCTTGTTCCAACATCGCCACCACACCACACCCTCGCCATCCTTCCCCTTCTACCTCAGTCCTTCCACATACCATCATTCGTACTTTCTCATCTCTTTCCCAACTGTTCTCGCCCTTCCCACACTCTCCCACCGCCCCCTACATCACCCAGTTTCCTTCTTGTCGTCGTCGAAGATACCGCAGGTGGCCTAGTTGGTGCATGGCCTTCGACCGTCACCAGACGATGTCGGAAGATCCCGCCCGGCCAAGCTCACCTCAGCGTGGGTTGCGGATTAAGTCTTCCCTTGGGTCCACTCAGGGATGAGACGTAGTAGGCCAATGTGCTTTGCGAACTCTTTTTGCATAACAATCTAGTTGAATACTTAATGTAATTGCAAAAAGAAGGGATTGGGAGAGGCGTCTGGGTCTGTAAGTGCCTGTTTGGCTTTCAGGCATACGGTCGATGGTGATGGTGGTGGCAGTGACAGCGACAGCGGGCTGGCGATGGTGGTATTCGTTCAGACATTGCAACCACTCGAAGGATCCCGACTTATATGCACACGACTTGGAAAAGAATTGAGTCTCATCTCATTGAGGATTTTGAGGGAAACGAAAAGGGGTTTGGGTTTGACGACCAGAACCGGCAACGCGAAAAGCTCACATGCACCAAGACCAAGACACCGGAGGCCATTTCAAGGGTTTGGAGATACAATGGCGATGCTGCGAGACAGAACATGCGTTAACGAGCACATGATCAGATTATCAACGATCCTTGCACAAGTGATCCGGCAAATGCCGACAGGCCGCCGCAAGACCAACGCATTCTGCAGCCGGAATGACGACATGTACTAGCCTGGACTCTCCCAACATGCTGTTGATAATCACAGGACAGGGTTCATGATCATGTCATCTTGAATCAATGGATAATTCTCTGCGCAAGCACGAGGACTGCGGGGATCTGACAGAAGAATTTCTTGCACACCAGCTTCGTAACATCCACCCTCGCTTAGTCTCTTAGTCCTTGTGTTCGGTAACCTTTACCCAAAAATTATCCTGCATAAACAAGTTATGATTGACGCTATGCCAAGGCTTAGCGGGATCTAAAATTTGGAACTCAAAATTGCGAAGCAACTTAGTATGTAAATGTTAGCATCTTACCACCTCTCGGCGTCACAGCATTCTCGAAACTCGGGGCAGAAAGACTGGACTTACTTCAACAAAGACCTTATTCAACTCCAGAAAAGCAACATTCTTTCCCGCACAACCCCATCGTCCATATCCAAACGCGAGCTCAGTTGTCTTCTGCATTTTGTCCCTCGCCGCCGCATCCGCTTCGATCCATCGCTCAGGCCGGAAGAGGTCCGCATCTTTACCAAAGACGTCGACGCGACGGAGCGTGCCCCATACGTTCTGAGCGATGCGCGTACCGCCCGGGATAAAGTGTCCATCGATAGTGTCTCCTCCGGCGGGTACTTCTTTGGCGCAAAGACCAGTGAACGGCGCGCACATCCGGAGACCTTCATAGATGATAGCCTGGCTTTGGTGAGCAAGTGAAAATTACGGTCAGCAGGAGGGGGATTTGAGGGGCTAACCTGAAGGTAAGGCAATGTTTTCCCTTCCTCATAGGTAATGGGAGAAGAAACCCGGCCTTGGGTGATAGCTGTGCTAATTTCGGTCTTCAGAGTATGATATGCGCGAGGCGACGTAATAAGATGTAAGAAAGTCGTCCGAATTGCTGTTGCGGTTGTGTCTGATCCAGCAATGATCTGGAAGAGAACTTCTGTTTCACACTCGCTCTGGCTGACGCCGTGCCGGATAAAGGCACCCTGTTTGTTCTCAGCTTTGCTCCAGACAAAATTACTGACAGACAACCTACCAGCATGTCCGGTTCCTCCTTCGCATCTGAACCGAAACGCCGTCCGACAACCTCCTTGGCCACTCTATACTCCGATCAGCATCTCACCATAATGCTACCCATAGAAGAAGTACCACGTACCCCATGAGCTTGCCCAATCCGCTCTTGTCAGTATGTTTTGGACCGATCGCTCCCAGGATGGGCTTGGAAAACATAAAGCTTGCAAGCCATGGCACTTCACTGCATAGCTGCAGAAGCGGTATAGCCGCCTCCGTTGTGCTGATGTAGTCGTGGACATCCGAATCAGTAGCCAAGTACCCAAACTCTTTTCCATACGCAACTCTGGTAATAACATCCAACGTGAAATACTGTGTTGTCTTGCCCAGATCCATCGGCCTGACCTCGTCGCTGGTCGTAATATACTTCCTCCGGATAAGGTCCACGAAACCAGCCACCTGGGAGTTGATGCCGTCTTCGAGCGCCAGGTTCTCTTTGCCAGCGTATCCAGCTGCACACTTGGCCTTTAGCTTATCATGTGCGCCGGTGTCGCGCAGACTGAACAAGCTGTCTTCGTGAGGGTTTAGCTTCGTGGTGTCGTACCAGGATGATCGTCCGTAAGTTGATCGGGCAGCATTGATGCGACGTAGGATATCCGGGTCGTCAGTGACGAGGTCGTTTGGGCCAATGCGGACTAGGGAGCCATGTTTCCTGTTGAGGTTGGTGAAGTGCTCGGCCGGTCGACCGGAGCGGGCGTTTGATATGAGCCAAAGGTAAGAGAAGCGTCCGATGAGCGGGCCCGGGAAATCGCGGAGACGGCCGTAAGCTATGATAGATGAGGCAACATAGTAGATGATGAAAGCGAAGCTGAGATAAAGCGGTGTCGAGCCTGCATCGAGGTATGAGGTGAAATTTGATAGCGCCATATTTCGCCAACTCGTCCTGCAACTTATTGCAATACTGAGGGAGGCAAGGTTGAGTTGATTTCTATTTCAATTTCAACTACTAAGGTCTTATCCAGTAGTAAGGGTCCTCCATTATATCATCTAGTATTTCCAATGCCGACAGCGACCATCTTCTACTTTTCGGGTTTGCCCCGTACAGACATGACAAGACCCCTTGCCATACTAATGCGTTGATTGTTGCAACCCCGCCTCTCGTTACATCGCTCGGGATTCTAGAGACGTCTTGAGGATGACAGCGCTGGCTTCCATGTCGATAAACCGGGGTTTGCGGGTTGGAAGGCTTGGTGTACCGGCCCGTTGTCACCAAAAGTCCCAAATGCCGATTATGGACCTACCTCGATTCGGATAGCCTGTCTGGAAGAGTCACACTGCCCAGCATTTGGCATCATTCGATTGCAGACATTCAGTTTATTGATACCAGGTGATGTCCAATGATGACCTTCCTGTCGGACCCGGGCAAGATGGGAACGAGAGATCGGCAATTGGAGAATCCAGACATTTACGCCTGTGATTGGATGTTTTGGGGGGAAACGCTCGGAGGAGAGGCAGCTTTTGTGGGTTCCTCGACCCTGTCTTGTGTAACGTAGGGATCACGGATATGTCGGCGTAAGCGCTTGAGCTTTTATGGTTACTACGAATGTGCCATGATGGATCGCTATCGGACTCTGATAGATTTTGAAATGGGGCAATGGGCAAATAAGCGACGTCTTGGTGTCTTGGTAAGCTGCTGCTATTCATGGACAAGCGACCGTATATCAAGGGAAAACCCAGATTTTGTCGACGACCCATATAGGCCCACAGACACGAGCTGGAGGAGTAATAGGGGAGGTGTTATTGGTTGGAGCGGGGAGGGGTTATGATCTTAAGTCATAGCAAACATTGCGACGAAGTCTGACAAAGCCTGTGATGGACGAGAAACAGTCAGAGGCAGTATCGCCTTCGGACCAACTTCGTAAAGACCTCCGTGATCTGGGAGCTTGCCCGAAGATGAGGGGCATCTGGGAAAAATCGAGATAGCTCGAGGGATGGAAAGCTGATGGTTGGGAAGAGAACGAGGAGGGTTATCCATATTAAAAACATAATAGCATACAAATTCCGTCCGAGGATTGACAGATTGGCCCTCCATATCTTCCTTCACTAGAGTCTTCGCCGTCCGCGAGGCGCGATTGCTCCGCTGAGTGTTGGTGGTTGTTGGTACATTATCGTTTATAGTACAGTCGTCTTCATCGCGGCAACGCCCAAAGGGATTCCGTGGGTAGAACCCAAGTCTTATTGAGGCGCCTTGGTGCGCAACTGGACGCCGTGCCACTGCTTCATCATGTCGCCCAAGACGGCGTTGACCATGCGCTGCTGCTTCAGCATGTTGGCGCCCTTGAATTTGGCCGAGGTGATGTCGATGGCGTACATGGAACCGCATCCGCCCGAAACGTCTTGAACGATGAGTTCCGAGGGCGTGAACTCAGCGACTAGCTTATCCCATATCGTCGACTCGGCATCGTCGAGGTGGTCGGGCTTCTCGAGGGCTGTTGAGGTCTCGGTCGCGGAGGAGTAGGAGCGCTTGGAGATGGATTGGAGGTTGAATTGAGGCAGTGATCGGATCGCCTTGGAAACTTGGACTCTAGCAGCGGATCTCAGGGCGTCGTTTCTTGTTGCGATCGACAGACTCGAGAGGGGGGCCTTTGCGATGATGGTGTTCGTGGGCTTGGGAAGCGCAATTGCGCGACGGCACGCTCTGCAAAGCATTCTGGGCTGATTCAGTGGTTGGTTCATTGGCTATTTGGTTTGTGGTGTAGGAAGATTTGGCAGTGGCTTCAAATGGGGTCGCTTGAGGCTATCGCGGTCGAATCGAGGTTCCCAATTAATTTGCTGTGGATTTGGTGGGAAGCTTCAATTCGGAATTTCTAAGCTCGCGGCTATTGACGTCAACAAGGAATTGGGTGAGCTGCCGGTATTTAGCCGGTGGCTGTGTGTGGTCCATAGTGTGGCTTAGCTCACACGGGACTTGAGTGAGATGAGTGGCTCAGCGAGATACAAGTGAGACTCGCACCTTCATCAAGCACACTCACTCACATGCCTCTCACGTGTCACTTACTCGACCTTCACGCCTTTCAAGCTAACAAGCAACCTGGTTCACTACGTGCGTAAGGTGAGAAAAGAAATGTCTCCTAGTCATTTCATCAAAGTCACAAAACAGCTAACATGGGTCACAGGGACTGGAAATTTTAAGGGGCTAATGCGACAACAGCTTCAACCACCAAGGGCTACATCATCACCCTCAGGTCTCCTGCTTCACATGCAGATGTCCCCGCTAAGATAGGCCGCTCTAGACGGTGGGAAAATTATTTCTGCATCTCCAATCTGCCAGCCATGGCGCGTCTCTCACCTACTTCCGCCAAACTACCCCGGCAAATTCTCCCAGTTCGAGATCACTCCGTCCGTCTTACCCCAGGGCCCAGGGCCATCAATAGCGTCTCCCCGCATCTCCCCGCATTCTTCTCCAATGATTTACCCCAGGTCGTAAAAATTGCTTAGTCCGACACTAGAAATTAGAGGCGACGAGGTTCTCTTGCGGTTTTTGTCAAATTCCTCCAATCAGGCGTGTTAAGGTCCCGGCCGGCAACACTTTTCCCAGCGGTTTGGCAATGAATGCGAGGAACGCGATGAACGCGATGAACGCATCAGGGGAAGACAGCGAGCTTCGATGCTACGCTAGAAGGCGTATAAAATGTGGTACATAGAGGAAAGGGGACGCTCACTGAAAATGAGAGGGGGCTGAGTAGCAGAGAAGAGCAGCAGCTTGGTCCTCCTTCTTGTTTCCATGGCTCGGTTGTCCTATTTGTTTTCCGCGGTTGCGGCTTGCTTCCTCCAGGCCGTGGTAGCTCAAGAACCTACAGCTCAGGTCCTCAATGGCACTTATCAAGGCCGTCATTTGGCTGAGTGGGACCAAGATGCCTTCCTCGGTGTCCCTTTTGCGCAGCCTCCGGTTGGCCAGTTGCGGTACAAGTGGCCACAAAGCCTCAACACTTCCTTTGAAGGCACGAGAGATGCCACAGAACAGGGCTACAGCTGTATGCAGTTCAGAGGGACCTTCAACATGTCCGAAGACTGCTTGACCCTCAATGTTGTTCGGCCAGCTGGAAAGCCTGAGAAGCCACTCCCGGTTCTCGTATGGATCTTTGGTGGTGGTCTATATACTGGGTCAATTGTAAGGAATTGTCAATCTCGGATCATCGTGTGTCAAGACTGACTTGAATGTGACACAGGCCGACCCTCAATATAACCTCTCGGGCATTGTCAAAGTCAGTCAAGACATGGGCCAGCCCATTATCAGCGTAGCCATGAATTACCGTCTCAACATGTACGGCTTCCTACAAACACCTCAAATCCTCGCCGAAGGCTCCAGTAACGCGGGTCTGCTGGACCAGAGGTTGGCGCTTCGGTGGATCCAGGAGAATATCGCGGCCTTTGGTGGAGACCCGGAGCGGGTGACAATCTGGGGCGAGAGTGCCGGGGCCCAAAGCATCGCCTACCACATGTTCAGCTACGACGGCCGGGACGACGGCCTTTACCGCGCCGCAATCCTCGAGAGCGGCGGGCCGACGGGGGCCCAGGTGCAGGACCTTGCCTACTACAACGCCCCCGTCGAGAATCTGACGCGCAGCGTCGGCTGTTGGACTGCCAAAGACCAGTTGGCTTGCCTCCGCGGCCTCAGTCAGACGCAGCTCTTTGCAGGAAACCCCAGTCAAGTGTGGAACCCGATGATTGATGGCGACTTCCTGACGGGCTACCCGAGCCAACTGATCCGCGAGGGCAAGTTTGTCAAGGTGCCTCTTCTGACGGGCGCCAACAGCGACGAGGGCATCAACTTCAACCCCAACAGCCCCAAGCCAAACACCGAGACAGATCTTTTCAACGGCTTCACTTGGTGGCGCTCTTATGCCCTCTCCCCACCGACGATCAGAAAGCTCTTTGAGCTGTATCCCAACGACCCCTGCACCCAACCGCCGCTCTCCATCACGAACTGTTCCGTGTACCCGGAATACGGCCTGCAGTGGCGGCGAGGTGCCTCCATCGGCGGCGACTTAGTCATGATCTCGGGCCGCCGGAAGATGTGCGAGCTCTACGCCGTCTCTCAGCCCGTGTACAGCTACCGCTTCGACCAGCTGCTCTGGAACCGCAAGCAGATTGAGGGTGTGCGGCACTTTGACAACGTCGCGTACAGCTTCCAGAACATTTCTGGCCTGCTCGGGCCCTCGCCGCAGTATGACAGCCACGTGCGCTTCGCCCGCGCCATCGGGGAGGCCTATGTGCGCTTCGTCTACGAGACGGATCCGAACCCGAAGCCTGGCAGCAATGGAACGTTTACTAATGGGACGTCATTATTGCCGTATTGGCCCAAGTATGACTTGAGTGCCCCCAAGAACTTGGTGTTGAACGCATCCAAGAGCTATGTGGAGGATGATACGTGGAGAAAAGAGGGCATAGACTTCATCAACACATACGAGGTTGCAAGGGAGCTTCTTGCATGATGGATTGACCTGCAGCTGGGAACTCGAGTTTCCGAGAGCTGATCTGATATCTAGCATCAGGCAGCAGATGATTAGTTGGCATCGTCCAGCGTACAGAGTACATAGATGATACAGCAATAAGCAATGTTAGTTAATCATGGTGTGCTACGGATACTTATCTCGCCCACATGTTCTTTTCGTACTAGTGGAGACTGCCTCAATCCTCCGCTCTCGCCGCCGCAAGGCCAAGGAGGGGAAACAAGGCGACTCTTGTCATGGAACCCGGTCACCGCCCAGCCGCCCGTTGACCCTCCCCCCTCTCTTCCCGAGACGGACTACGACGGTCGCATTTGACGATCTGTAAGGCACGACCCATCATGCCCAAATTGTCGGAATGCTGATCTTGAGGCAGCATTGGCGTGCTTCTGAAGACTTGACCGAGTTTGGCATCTGCGTTAGCCAAGAGTCTTGATCCTCTCTCACGCCAGTGAAGAAGAATTGACTTAATCCTGTTTGGTCTACTAGCGCCGGTATCTGATAGTGACTCCGTAGAGACTTCATGAAAGTCGGAAAGTATCAACATCTGCAGTGTATCGCGATACGATCATGGCCGATTGTCTACCTAGCTATGAAACCCGCTCCTGAGCTGGGCGGGGCAAGACTAGCATCATGCTCCGGGCAATCAGAAATCAAAATTGTTTCGGCGAAGGCCGCTGTGGGTATTTCCTGTCTACTGCGAGCTCCGCTCGAAATACAGAGCATGCAACTCTGTTTAGACTCAATACTGAACACTGAAGTTATTTGACCTTGTGCTGATAAGGATATCTTCAATTGTTCCCCAAGAGCACAAAACCCATTGTCTGCTGCACGACGATGCATGTTGTTGAATCAACCATGAACAAAGTTCGGCGCTATAGTAAGGTTAAATGCATTTGTGTTTGCCAAAGTTCTATTTACATTAAAGACCCCTACAGCAGTGCAGGCCGCCCAGAATAGGTGCATCCAGGTCCTCCCCAGCAGCAAGAAGTCAGTAATCATTTATTCGTAATTTTCAGGTTCAAGCAAGCGGGGGCCGTTGTTTTATGAGCTTCTCCAGTTGCCATCTCGCTGTAACCTCTTCGTTGATTTGCTGCGAGCCACAGAACGGCGACTGAATCGTACAAACCCTTCGCCTTTTGAGGTTCTCCGTCAGCCGAACCGTCGAATCCTGAGAAGAAGTGCATATCAAAAGTTCTCTCATTTTCAGCCGGACCCGTTCTCGCGCCCAAAATACGAAGAACTTGAAAGTTTGACCAGGTCAGATTGAGTGGAGGAGATCCCCACGGCCTCTTCCCGAGCTTCCCAGATCGCCTTAGCAGCCCAGCCGGGACCCAACTCCTTTTGGCTAAAGGCGAGAGAAGCGAGAGTAGCCGTGGTCCTCACGCCCTTTAGGCGTTGGTCCGGGCGTATCAATACTGGGCCATTGTTGTTACTATGTCTTCAGACCTTCGCTTCATTCCAGGCCTCCACAGCTCTATCATTGCATAGAAGTCGGCGGGACTCAAGTACAGTTTCCAGTTGATACGGTTCGATACGTAATAGCAGGCCGAAAACGATGTCTTGCGCCTGTGACTCGAAAGTCGAGACTGACGCGCCTTTGCAAGTTCAATGCGAGCCATCCAGCACAGGGAACATGTAGCGTCGCACCGCCGCCCGCATCCCGCGAACCTTTGCGTCCGGTCTAGGGCCGGGGCCTGGCCACCGCGTTATCGACTTTTCGGCAGGTGAATCGGATGGAGGCCCAGAAAGACGAGAAGCCATGGATGATGGGATGACAGGTGCCAGGCCTTGTTGGTCTTTTCCTGTAAGACTCTCGAGCCTTCAACTCTCCCAGAATCCTTTCGCCCATTGAGAGACTCCTCCATTCAGCCACTTTTGGCTCTGCCCTGTGTGCGTGCGGGGATTTCGCATGTGGGCGCGGAAGAGTTGGCGATATTGACTAGCAAAAGGTCCTCTACCCAGCAGAGTCTCTGAGTCTCCTGCCCAAAAGGAACAGGCTCAACATGAGTCGTTCAACCTTTCAAGCTCCCTTTTCTAATTACGGATTGGCCTCCGACTCACGCCCTATGCCTTGTTTCCTCAATAGAGAAGAATCGTATGCCGAGGAGAATCGGGACAAACAACTAACTTCAGAAGCCGATACTGACGTGCCTGGAACAACATCCAACGCAATCGCCTCAGAACCCACCATGCAGCCGGGATGTCCGTCCCCGCGTGGATGCTGCCGTGGTGCCTACCAGTAACCATATGCGTGCCTGAGCACATCGCGCGCTCGGCGCTCCACATCGCACGAGTGCAAATTCAGGAACACGCACAACAA